AAATGATGATATTAGAGTGGCACAAGGAAGATCATTTATATTTCCCTCCACATAAAATATTTTAAAGTAAGTTTGCGAATTAGTATTACAATACTTTTGAATGACTCTTGAATTTTAATTACCAGCAATATATTTAATCAAATAATATATTCCAGTCAGATTTTATATTGATAAAGCAAGTTTGGCATTAAGGTGGCATCGGTGAGGAAAAGAAATTTAATATGTGTTACGTAAATTGTTATGATAATTAAAAAATGAAGGTAGTAGGACTGACTGCTCAATGGTTAAACTCTAGTCTTTTAAAATATAAAAAGACTCTAGAGACACAATAATTCAATGATTGGGAAAAATAAAAAGGCCCCCTCTCATCATTTGTTAAGGCAAGGTAAGTATTACTACTACGTATTAATTAAAGTTTGGCAGAGGTGAAGCATGAGGAAGGTCTAATTAGAATTACGATGACACTAATTGGATAAATTTATAAAATGTGAAGGGAAATCATCTTTTTATCTGTATCGGTAATATTTATGCTTTCAGAATTTTTTCCTGATTTATTTTTCCTTATATAGCTCTTACTCGTCAGTGCAGAGAAGAGTACTTTATCATACTTAGATGTCTTTTGAATTTATTACTCAAAAACTTCAGTTATGGAATTAAAATTTTGACAATTGCACCTTTCCTTGCTTACTTCGCGATAATAACAGACATTAATATAAGATTGAGCATTTCTTTTTAGAAAAAATAGCTATTGGTAAGAAGTCAGAGTAAATGATGTAATTAATTAAACATCAATCCACATTGAATGGCAGGCCAAATTAAAACACATTATGAACGAGAGTGAAGTCATAGAATGCGCAGAAAAGAATGAAGGATACGATGATGCACGATTTGCGCTAGTGGTTTATATTGGTACACCGATTGCATTCATTGGGACTCTTTTCAATGGAATACTACTAGTAAATTCATTTAATACAATCCTTGTAATTCAATCAATTTTAAGCGTGAAAATTAAGTTAATCTAATTGGTTTAGAATTGACTTTAAACTAACTAATTTAAGGTTAGTGAATAAAATTGATTGACTTTGATTAACAACTCTTTTAAATCTTGTAATGCTTGATGTAGGAGTACTTCAAATATAGTCGTCTATGCCGTTCTTTTGAAATGGTATGGGTAGGTAAAAAATGATATCATTAATCGTTTAATCTATCCAGACTAGTATTAAATTTTCCAGCAGCATTACTTTATAAAAATGGCTGAAATTCATTTAGTTGAAATCTTTACTCTTCGAAATTTTTGAAAAAAACTCTTTTTCAGATTATATTTTGTCATAAAAAGTTATTGAATTCGCCTGATTTTTATTTACTATTTTTGGCTATATTCGATATGCTCATTTGTGTCCTTTACATGCCATTTTTTACCATGGATGCATTGGCTATTTATTATCAAATTAATTCATTTCATCACTTATGGCATACTTACGTTATGCAAATATACTGTATGAGTCGATTTGGTTCGTTTTCCTTCCATTATTTATATTCTAAACATCATATCTTTGTGCTTTATCTTTTTCTGGATGATATTTCGGAGAACGAATACGAAAACCAACTGACATCATGACCTCTAGATCACAGTGAGTGTATCATGAGCATTAGTCATCGAGCAGTTCTTGACCTTTCAATTGCATCATTCTTTTTGAAGTATTTAACGGCTTTCACTAAAGTCTATTTAAAGTCGATCTTAATCCGTTGAAGAATTATATTTGCTTCATTCACAAAGAATATTCCAAAACTTATTGGCAAAGTATAATTTGATGAGAAGTAAATATCAAATGATTATTTTCAACTTTTCAATACTCAAATTCGATTTTGAAAAACTTTAAACTGCTACAGTACAATTTGGTGCCGTATATATGATGTTATGCGCAACATTTGAACGTTTTGTGTACATTTCCAGTAAACGATGTCTTAGCTGGTTTATTACGTTAGTTTCCAATTGTATCTACTTTTTTTTATGCCCCAAATCTTACGAATCGAAACCTGAATTTTGAAAATTCAAGATTATTAGCAGCTAAGAATGGCAATATAGAAATTCAAACATTTGAAGATCATTTAGATTTAAATGATACTTATGGGTATGCATACTTAAAGACGAAAACAGCTTTCTTGTTTAGCATAAAAGTTTCAATTTCCAGCGATAATGGACGACTAATAACTGTAATTGTTGCACTGATTATATCACTAATATCCCGATCTCCAACTTTTTTCGATTACAAAATCGTTTACCGCGCGAAGTGCCCACCTTTTCAGGTTTTAAAACTAACGTTTAATATCAAATTTTAAACAAATTCCAAATTTTGTTCCTTATTTTCTTATTCTCCTTTCCTAGAAGTAAGTTTGGAAGAAGCTTCAGCAGCTTTCTGTCCTAGAAAAATTGATACCGTAAAGTCTGATCTGTATACTTTGTTAGAAATGATTATGCAGCATTTTGACGTCGAGCTGATTGATTCCTGTAAATCAGTTTATGAATTTTAATCTGATAATAGTCTTACGTTCATTCAAATTTATTTAATTTGTTATACTAAGAAAGCTGTAGATAAAATCAAATAAATTTCAACAACTAACTCTACCGAATTCGAGAATAGCGCCGAAAATCTTTCCCTACTAATAATATATATTTTCAGGACTATCTGTTTCTACCAGTGCTAATGAGATATTCATTATATGCGAAATTTAATTTTTACATGATGAGTATTGTGCAAACAATAGTACCATTTATATTACTTACTTGCTTCAATGTAGTTATCATATATTTAACTCATAGACGACTTTATAAGACTTCATATGGCATGGAATTTCATGTGCTCGGGTTTACTAATATTACCAGACAAGGTAGATTTTTTATACTTTAGTGATTGATTTTTTATTTTGGACATTCAGAGAGTGAAGAATCGTTAAAAAAAATTGATTCAATCGTGGGGTTTACGGTAAGTATAATGCGTTATTTTGTAAATAAATAACTACCGTTTAGTTTCAAAAAATGTGATAATCTGTAAAATACTTCAAAAAAGCTTTAGAATCGGAAAGTCGTAAAATTTGTCAAGAACTGAAATGTGCTACCCGTACAATGGTTGCGATTGTGTTTACTTATTTAACTTGTAATGTTTTTTCCGTCTTTATGTCCGTAATGGAAAATGTCTTTCCGGAAAGTTCACTGCTTATTGATAATTATGGATCAAGGTTAGTTTCGAGCCTTTATTCAAATAAAATGCTAGGTCTGTAGATGATGGAAAGCATCTTATCCCAAAATTTTTTACAAATTTTTGAAGAATACATCCAAAATGGTTGACAATTGGCCCCCTGATGCTCTTATCAAACTTTGAAGAGAATCCTTTAAGGGATAGATAAAAATGGAAGATTCCGAAAATAAATCAAATTTTCGGTTGAAAGCAAATATTCGCAGCTTTCAAGAAAATTCAAACTTCATTTTTTTATATCCTTTCTAAACAATTTTCAAGTATTTTTCGAGCAAAGCTGATTTTTCAGTACAAAATTTTACACCATAGCAGCTGATTTGGTAAGTATTTTGGTAGTGTTGAACAGCTTATTGCGAATGATTATCCATATGACATGCAATCCACAGTTTCGAGAACGATTCAAGCTGCTGCTAGTCCAATTCAGGTTTTAATTGCTTTTTATCTTGATCATTTCTATCTTTTTTAAAATAAATCTTTAAATACCATACAATCTTCAAGTAGGAAAATTCTCAAATTTAAATTTGCAATGAAATCGGGACAAAAATTCATTGTCTTACTTATTTGTCCGAAAAATAAAATAGATTGAATACAAACTATGACATTTGTTTTACAAATTAGGCTATGAGAATGCGTAAGTTAGCAATATGAATGAAAAAATCAAATTTCAAAGCTGCCAATAGTGTTCTAATGTTTATTCAATCATTTCGTTTTTACAATTTATTCATTGAATTTCATTTTTAAGGTCATTTAGGAAATAAGGATGGTATGAAAACAAAATAAGTTAAGAATATTCAAAGCGATCATTTGGTTTGTGCTGGACATATGTGACTGCAAGTGACCAAGCAAGAAGCAACAGCCTTGATGTGGCTATTCATAAAACACGTGGTACTGAAAGCTTGAGCTGGCCTTGCTATGTTAACAAACATTCCTTCATTATTGTCAGACAAAAGAATAGATTGGCGAGATAAAGTGAAGTCAATTTCGAATGTTGAATAAAATTTGAATTTTGCAAAAAAAAATTCTACCACGACGATCGTTTCATACCTTGACAACTATAATCTTACGGTTTCATTCTCGTGCCTGCTTTCTTTCATAACATATTGCAATTTTTATATTTTTTTTAACGATAAAGTTTGTGCAATCGTTAAATACATTCTTTGCTAATACGGAAAATGATTCGCGGATTTACCTGTAAAATATGCCTATGACAGAAGTGACATACGACACTTAACCGTATGCTATTTGGATCATCACTGGCTGTATTGTGAACAAACACTGAGATGAAACAAAAATATGTTTTTGTTGGCTTTTTGGTTATTTTCAAATAATTTAAAAATTTAGATTGTTAATTAGCCAAGTTCTGCGTTAATTTTTATACTTTTTAAGAAAATTTACAGTGACGTATTATTAGATACATTGCTTCAAATTAGCAGAAAGCTTCCGAGAAAGAAAAGTTGTTAAGATTTCGACTTTTAAACTGCATCATGCAATTAAGAAATAAATGATGCAATTAAAGAATTAGTAATGAAATATACATTTTTATTAAGGATATAGATATGTACTTTTGTTTGAGAATATTGTGAATAAATTTTATTGAGGATATGTCCTAAAAGAAAATATTACATTTAGTCACGCAACAAATATTTAAATTAGAAGTTCAGGGTTAACAGACAAAAGAATAAGTATTTTATATATTACATAAATAATTCAAAAGAGAAATTGACTCTGATCAGACTTGGAATAGGAAAAGGAAGTTTACACTCGTCTGGTGAATGAGAATTAATTAAGAAGTATTTTCAATAACTTATCATACCCTCTTTCTCAATGGATGCTGTAATTAAGATTGATCAAAGCGGTATGACTTTTTGATTACTTGATTTGATTACTTGAACCTGTAATCTAAAAAATAGGAAGGAGGGAAACTTTGAGTACACAAAAGATGAAAGTTTTGGATTTATAATTAAAAAAATGATTGCTAACATATTGCAAACTTCTATGGCTATAATTAAAACGAATACTTAATGACATATTTATAACTTCAAGATTGAAGAATTCGGACTTTTGTAGTACCTTCAACATAAAACCCAGTACTTTTATATCAGCTGAGTTAATACACGAAGTAGAGATGGATCTTGGGAAACTCATTTCAGTATGTCATGTTATTACGTTTGTAACACGGGTCGTGCGTGAAATGAATATATGATGATTGTACGATCAAAAATCTCTGGTGATTTACCTTCGCATGTTTTTTTCTTAAGAAAATAAGCATCTCAGCCTTAAATCACTAGCGAAGACAGATAAAGCTTTTTTAGAGGAAAAGCATTTTTCTTGCCCTTGTTTTTGGCATAATTTTAAAAGGCAATGATGAAAATACGAAACCTTTTTCTCAGATGAAAATATGACAATGTTCAATTTTTGATATCTGAGACGAAAAATACCATAGTCTGTATATGGATCTAGACAGTTTTAATAATTTGCACATTCCTTTTGAAATCCAGTTTTAAAGTTTAGACAGTTTAACTCGGTTACAAATAAAAGTTGCGATATATAATTTCAGTAGAACTATATCGGTGATGAAAATATGCTCAAATGGAATTAAGTAAAAAAGAAAAAGTATAATTACAAAGTCGGAAAAGTAATAAATAAGGGTGGACGGAAAATATCGAAATAATTCTGTCAACTGATAATTTGCATCTCTTGGATTCTTCTATAGCTAGATTTTTGATTATGTAACAATGACACTGATTGGTTTTTTCAAAAAATTTTGAAGTACGCAATGAAATCAAACTTGAAAAAAAAAATGAAATCAATGGTAAATTAGATACCACATAAATCTGTTACTCGCAATGGTTGTTTCCTGCGTAGACTGCGACAGTCCTTAGACATGATTTTATTTTCATCCCTGTGAAAAATAATAAAAAACACGCAATTACGAGCAGAAAAAAGAATATGCCACGTCAAGTTCCATCTAAAACATTACCTAGTACATCACTCTCAAGGATTGAGTACGAGTCTCTTATGAGTTAGTCAGCTAATGAAAACGTGGTATGGTATATTATGCTATGGGCATTTCTGATGTGCCCAGAAAAAATCAACGTAAATAATTCCACAGAATGAACATCTGCAAGTATGGAGATAGTCGCCGTCTCGGAAAAGCTTCCCGAACGAAGATACGTGAAGGGTTATACCCACGCTGCAGGCGTGATGGCTAAGAAGGTCACTGCAGGATAAACAAGTTTGATTGCAAAAGGTACAGCGAAAAGCCTTCTTAGGCGATTTTGATGAGGTACGGTTTTTTTTCCGTCTTTTTTTGTCCTCGAGTCTGATTCTGTGTGTGTTCTCAAAGGAAGCAGCAGCGTTATGGATGATGTCCACGTCTTCTGATTCGAGGACAGAGTAGTCCATTCCAGCGACCACTGATGGTAGCCTATATGGGCAAAGCTCAAGTATTGTTTCAAGGCATCCTTGTACCCCTTTTTTGTGGTTCTTGTTCTGCGGAGACCAGTTCACCATAGAGCACAATGGATGGCTGGGACTATACAGAGGTAGTGCTGGTGGGAAACGTTCGAGGAATAGCAAGTGGTGGTAGAAGATAGCCCATGATTCAGATTCATGTAAAGAAATGGACAGTACAGTAGAATGGCTTTTGTAGGTACTGAACTTTGCACTCCTCCCCAGGTATTTGTTGCACCAGATTCTTCTATAAAGTTTTCCGAAAGCTCTGTATCTTATGTTAACCTGTTGCCGATTACAGATGTATAAGCAACGACAGTGGCATCGTCAGTAAAAGCAATCTGCAAACACAGTAATTTAGAATCTTGTCCAAGTGGAAAGAAAATTTGTATTTTCTTGGAAGTATTTTGCACAATAAGACACCAAAGTTGTAAGATTTCTTTTATTTTCCCTCAAACTTGGACAAAAGAAATTACGATAACAAGAATTAGTATCTTTGTTAGCGTCAGTTAATAAAGCGTTCTTTGTTAGCGCACATTTGGTATAGCCTTTTGTTGACACACATTAGTGTAGCACCCGCAATATACAATGGTAAACAACGAGTAGATATACAATTCTATGCAGTGATAGCACCTATATACAGAAAAGAATTTGAATGGTTTTCAAATCATTAATTTGATACTTAATAATAATGACAGTATATCACTTGACTTAATAATAGTATATCACAACATATTCACTTATGAATTTTTATATTTTTTTTATAACGGAACTTTTTTGCGTTTATTTGCTACCCTTGATGTAGATCTGTCGCCTTAGATGAACAGGGATATCGGATGCAAATGCCGTTTTCTTCATTTCTTCACCGTGTTTTCTTCATTTCGTTTCTTCACCGTGGCCCTTTGACCCTTATGCTAAAAAAGATTGCGAATGGAAATGGTGTGACAGGGCATTGATTATTT